AGAAAAAATCTCCAGACGAATCATAATATTAATATTTTAACATTCACAATCCACCACGTACTTCAAAATTATGGATTGGTGATAAGAATAAAAAAAGAAGCCCTACTTGAGTGATGATCATAAAAAATGCTGGTTAGCATTCATGAAAAACCACGCTGACTGGACTATTGAAGACTAATTCAAAGTAATCTGGTCTGATAAGTTCAAATTCAAAGTCTTTGGATCAGATGACATCCAGTATTACTGGAAGTAACCAGATGAGCCACTAAAAAGCTCACATGTTAAGTCTACAATCAAGTTTGGGGTGGAGGAATTATGATGTGGGATTGTTTCTGTTCATATGATGTTGGATTTCTGTGTCAGATTGATGGGATAATGGATAAAGAATTGTACCAAAAAATTTTGTCTAATGAATTAATACAGATATTAGATTGATATGATTTAGATATTAACAATGTCATTTTCCAACAGGACAATGACTCTAAACATACGGCAAATTCAATGAAATAATAGTTCATTGATAATGATATTAACGTTATGGATTGATCATTCCAATCTCCAGATCTTAACCCAATTAAACATCTATGGTGGCAAGTTGACATTGAGTTGCATGGTCTTCCTGGTACAATTTCAGAACAGAACGACTTATAAGAAAAAATTGAAAGGGTATAGAAAGAGATCAACATTAAAAAATGTATTATGTTAATTGAATCAATGCCAAGAAGAATCCAAAAGGTAATAAAAGCTAAAAGAAACTATACAAAATATTAAATATAGTTTAATGTATTTAGTTTAGTGAAAAAATTAACAATAAATTATGAATTTTTTAATTATTTCAATGAATTAAAATTGTTTAATGAAAAAAGAACAAAAATAATGCAACAGTTAAATTTTAATATTTTTTAAATTTTTAAAATATTTTATTTAATAATCTATATTGTATTTATAATAATAAAAATTATGGCATATAATAAATCAAATCAATCACTAATTATTTTGATATTGTTAAATTTTTTAAAAATAATGTAATTTAAAAAATTTGATTTAAGTGTTGCATTCTTTTTAATTGCTATTGTAGATATTGATTCTTTTAAATAAGTAAATACTACTAGTAATTTTCTGTCATTGGTATTATATTGTTATTATTTTGAGTTTTTGTATATGAAAGTATTTCAAAATGACAATAATAACTATATTTATAATAATTTTATAACTAAATAGTATTTATAATCATAAAATAATATTTTTAATAAGATAAAGATGACAATAATAAAACTAAACTAATAATAAGACTAAACTAAAAGAAAACTTAACCAAAAACTACTTCTAATTTCAAAATAAAATCAATTTAACATATCCAACTCAATATTAAACCAAAAGAAATTTAAAATCAAAACTAAAAGAACTTAAATTAAACTTGAAAAACTTAAATCAAAACTTGAGAACTTGAAGAACTTGATTTTTATTAATTATTAGCACTTGTATTTATACATATTTTAATGTTATAATAACATAGTATAATATAATAATGTGCAGTATAATACAGTTGTGATGTAGCATATAACACAGTAAATTTATACACTAATATTACAAAATTACTGGTTCTTTTCTAAATTATACAAAATTTAACTATATTATAATTAATAATCTTGTTCTATACTAAAGTATCAATAGCAAAAATAGAAAATAAAAGCTAAACTAATATGGAAAATAATAAATTTACCAAGAAAATTGTGTAATTAATATATTCAAATAAAGATAACAATGAAAAATAAGTGATATAAGAAAAAAAGAAGAAAATAAAAAAAATAAAAAGAAGTAAAAAGTTATCAAACTAAGTACATAATTCAAATATTATCATGACTAATTTTCATTGTAACTGTGTCTTCTATTCATGTATTCTTATATCAAATTAATAATAATATATTGAATTACTGACAATATACTTTAGTAACTAATTAATAAAATCTTGATTTCTTTCACTAAAGTTAGAAATATCAATTATTTTTGATTCTTTCATGGACTAATTGATAAGTATTTGTATATTATTTTGCATATTAACATTCAAGATATTTAAAGTATTAGTTTAATATAAAATTATAGTAATTAATTATTAAAATATTATTGTCAAGTTTTGAAAGTCAGCTTGTTGTATCATGTTGTTTTGAAATAGTAAGTCTAAATTTAAATCTTTTAATATATTATTTTCATTATCTTTTTGTTGAATTATAATTTAATTTAATTAATATAATTTTTTGGATTCACTTCAAATAGAGTATTTGCAAGTAAAATTATTGTTAAAGAATTTATTAGTTTTTTGAAATACTTTTACAATAATGACTTTTAAATATTATTTTTTATTAGAGTTAAATATTATATAAGATTGAATTAAATAGATTTGTAATTAATTTTTTTGTTGTTTTTTATAATAATAATTGAATAAATTAGTTAATCAAATATTATTTATAATTGATAAATATACTATTGCTCCACAATTAGATATTCAAGTTCAAAAGTTAATGAACAGATAATTTTTTCTTTTATTAAAATCAAAGATAAATAACAAATATAATAATAAGATGATAACAAATAGTATATTAAATTTGAATTATCTTTTAATTTATATATTAATAAATATATATTAATAATTGCTTCAAAAAAAAGTGCAAATATGATTCAGAAAGACATCAACTATTATTTCAATTTCTTTAATAATATTTATATAATAAAAAAATTTTATATATATTTTATTTTTTTTATAATTATAAGAAAAATTATAGAACAAGTTAAATTTATTACTAAAGAATTATTTAATATATGATTTATAAAAGATAAAGATATTTAATTTATTTTGTGCTAATTAAAAAAGATATTTTAGATATTTTAATAATATTTATTTTTATATCTAAGTAATACTTTAATAATAAGTTATTTGCAAGTTAATTATAAGTAATTAAAAGTCATTGATAACTTATTATTTTAATTATCTTTATAATTCTTCTTTAATATTTAATATAGTTTTTTGTTATAAATCAGAATAGTCTAATAATATTATTATTTTTATATTATATACTTATATAGTTTATATACAGAGTATTGATTAAGATAGCAATAGTAAAAAATATAAGAATAAAGAAACTTTGTTAATAAAATTATTTTAAATTTATATTATTATATTTTTTATAACTTTTTTATTTTTTTTAGTATTTTATACTTTTTAATTATTGTGTAATTAATAATATAAAAATAAATATAATATTTAATAAGAATATAGTAAAATATAAATATATCAAATAATCAATAAGAATTAAATAAAATTAAGTGTCCAATAAAAATAAGAGAGATAAAATATATTATAACAATATTTTTCGTAGGTTGGTAAAATTTTTATATTAAGTATTATATATTTGTTAAATATTTATTCATAAATAATATCTTTCTTAATTAATAAACAATATGAAATCATTTTTTATATACATATTCTAAAGATCTGAAACTTAGTCTTGCAAATATAATAAAATATATTCATTATAATAAAATTATAGTAATTTATTGAATTAAAAAATGAAAAAAAACAAAGAATTTAAGAAAAAATAGCTATAATAAATATAAATTTCAATTGAAACAAAGTAATTTTTTCAGATAAAAATATATTTTGATTAAATTAACATGCAAAAAAGATCTGGTAGTTTTTGAAAATTATTTCATATTATAAAATATCTGTTAAAAATTAATGTATAGAGCTATTTTTTAGTTTTAGATTTTGATAAGTTGATTTATTTTCAGTATAAATTTAATGCTGAATTTATAATTACAATTTATAAGAGGGATCTTTTATTATCTGTTGAGAAATTTTTTGAAAAGAATTATAAAGAATGAATTTTGTAAAACGATAATGATTTAAAATATTGATCAAAATTAATTAGAAAAAAATAACATCAAAATACTCTTCTGGTCATCAATATTATTCAACCAAAATCCTATTGAGAATATTTAGAAATTAATAAAAATTAAAATATCAAAAAAAAATTAGAATGTTTAAAGAATTAAAAAGTGAATTAATAAAAAAATGAAATTGCTTATTTAATAATCTTGCTAACAAATTAATTGATAGTATAAAAAATCAGATTGAGACAGTAATTAAAGTAAAGGAGAATTATACAATATATTAGTAATCAGAAAATATTATATATTTTAAAATAAAAAAAGAAAAAAGAAATATTTTATCTTTGATTCAAGTTATAAGTGATTAAATATTTTTATAAATTATTATACTGTAAATAATATTAATAATACTTTAAGTATTCTCAGAATTTTTATTTTTAAGTTGTAAATATATAGCAAAATGTCAAAAATGATACCTGAAGTAAGAAGTAAATTTATTTCCTCAAAATATTATTAAAATATTCTAAAAAGATATTTAGAAATGAGCCAAAAATCTATTTGCAGTTCAATATTTGAAAATCATTAAATTTCATATTTATTAATACTTCAAAAAGTTAAAAAAAGTGCCATTTTTACTGGTGTTGTTTGGTGCTTTTTACAATATAATATTAGATTGCATTTCAAAATTTAAATTTTATAATTGTTTTAATAATTTGGCTAAATTATAAAAATCAAAAAATTTGTATTACGCTTTTTATTCTTGAAACTGTAACTTTATTATAAAATATGGTACATAATATCTAAATTCGTTAACAAATTTAATTTATTTATGAATTAAATTTTGAATTGACAAGTTTAAATGTTATGCACTATAGTTAATTTCTCTTTATTTGAAAATAAAAATGCGATTGTAGATCAAAAATTAGCACAAACTCACAGGAATTTCAATAAAACACGCGAACATTTAGCATAATTCGAAAATTATGGTATAAATTTCAATAAATATAAAATTTCATCATTTTATTGCAATCAAAATTAAATAAATAAAAGTAAAACTCATCCGTCCAGGATGATTCCGTTTTGGAGGTCGATTTTTGGATCGACGCATCCACAAGTTAGACATTAGTTTTGAGATTATTGTAAGGAGTGTTGATGACAGAATTGGGCCTATAATGTTATTAGATCAGATAGTTAGTTATGAAGAACAGCTTATTTTGTTTTGTATGAGTGAATTTGTCTGAGATGATTTTTTTATTGCAACGCACGAATAAGATTGGTTTAATAGCTGCTGCTGCCGCTGTGTAGTTATTTCTTTGAGTTCGCTTGATGAAACAGTAATAACTTCCTCTCGATTCGTTGTAGTAACTTGCAAATCACGATTTGGAAAAAAAGATTGTTGAGGTTGAGGTTGTGGTTGTTTAGAGGTAAAAGAATCTAACGATGCTAAAGATTCTTGAATATTGGAGCCCAACTCCACCGAGGATGCTAAAATAATAATCAATGATAATTGGCTTAATATGATACAATTTAATTAGAAAATATTTAGGATTTTCGTACATTGTTTAAAGTAGGCTTCATCACCACCACCCTTGACAGAAATATCCAAGTTTGCCAATATTTTACCTTTTACATAGTTAGAATTTTTAGAAGTTTCGATTTGTAGTTGACTTGATGATGATGGTGATGATGACACCATATCAGACACTGAAAATATTGATTTTGTTTCAGTTTGACCGTTTGATGTGAGAACCGCACCCATATCCGAGTAAAATGCGTTTAATTCATCTTCCACATTACCTATTTTTATTACAATTATCTTAATATAATAATAAAGACACTCTCACATAAAGAAGGACACTCTCGCATAAAGAAAAACACACTCACGGCTTTCTTTATTTTCTTCGGCTACAGAACTTTTCGAATCTGCTTCATTTTCTTGCACTGAAATTTCTGCAACTTCAGAATCGCGGATGTCATTTATCACAGAGCTGAGTTGTTGGGGCTCATTAATATTAGTAGAAATTGGCCCTAGGTATTCTACTGCGTAAGCCTTATCATCCCAATATGATAACGCTACGCCTTCATCTCCCCAAACTTTCCATTCAGTTGTGGCGTATACAGGAATAAAGCATCCAGGATTTGCGTATGTTATGGAAACACTACGTGAATCGATGATAAATCCTTTAGGGAATTTTTGCTGATCACAAACTAGAGATAAAACTTTTACGGATGTCTATTGAGGCGAGAAGATATTTCAAAATTTATTCCAATTAATTTGCGAAATATCAAAATCTCACTAATTCCTACCTGAATATCTCGATATTCTAAGAATGCAAATCCCCAAGATATTCTCGATGCTCGATCCTTTATAAGCAATACTCTTTTGAGCATTCCTTGAGGACTTATTGGGTTAATTGCAGAATACAAACTCTCCTCGGTCGTCAAAGGATCCAAGCCACGGACTAATAAAAAACTGTGAGGATAAAAGCTCGCATCTTTTGACCCGTCGTTGAAATTCAAAAATGATCCTGAAGATGCAGAATGAAGAGAGCCTGATACCTCTATTATTATCAAATCAATCGTGTAAATAAATGAAATCCAAAGCAAAACAAAAACTTTTATATATAAAATTCAACTAATGAACGTTAGACCTCTCTTTAAATTTTTGCATTGATGACACCTATCGAGCCATTTATAATTAAGATGCCGACACTAAAATAGGATTACATTAGGATGAGATTATTCTCGTATTTTCTTATTTATCTTTAAACTTACACTTTTACACGCCCAACCTTCATCTTCGACCGATGCACTATGACTATATGCAATATTTACTCGTACTTTATCAACTATAATAAATGGATGATTGGCTTCGATGAATTGACGTGCATGTTCTACGCTCGTGAATTTGACAAAAGCATATCTACGAGATGTTCCTATCATGTCAAAACAATATGAATGAGCATTTACAGCAAAAAACTATTTTGATGATTCATATAAATTAATTTAAACCTGTCTTATGATCTTTTATCAATCTTATATTTTCAATGCTCGCTTGTAAGCTTTCGAGAGTTTGTTGAATCTTAAAAATAATCGTCAAGATCAACAACAATTAAGTAATGTATTATTATAGTGATTATTAATTATATCAAGAGAGCATATACACAAGGAGAGGAGAGGCGATAGAAACCGACTTGGTGTTCGGTAATTGAAAAAGGAAGGCCTTGTAAAATTACGAAATTATTCGGTTCACCCAGATTACGACGTTCATGTGAACGTTCCTATACTGCCAAAAACACTTAACATTTATATAATTGTCCTAGAGTCATTTCATTGTCTTCAAAGAGGTTATAAAAAATTCAACCTCGCCTGACATGTCCAGTCTTGAATGCCTCCATTTGCCATTACTTATACGGCGCTCTTCTGAATACCCTTTATTGCCCCAAGGACGAGCAATATTGTCGGCTGTTCTTTCCCTGTAAACGTAGTCATCCCTACTACGATAATCTAGACGAGTTCCCCTACCATCGCCAGAGTAACGGTCAGGACTTCTTGATCTATCTCCAGGTCTCCGACGACGATCTCTTCCATCATCGCGGTAAGTTAAGCGCTCGCGACGATCTCTATTGTACTCTGAACGATAAGATTGTGAGCGATTGTAACGTGAATCAGACATTTTCAAGATGGTAAAACCTATATAATAAGTATTTTTTTTCTAATCATCTAATCCTCATAATGTTATTTTGCATCACAATATTTGTAGCACAAGAAAGTGGCCAGAAAACAAAGAAATTTCATCACAATGACACGTGTTTCAAGTTCGTATATAATTCATTGTCATCATAGTCTTTATACTCTCTTTCCCAATGGACGAAATTTTAACAAAAGTTGCACTTCATACAGCGACCTTTGTAAGGAAGTTCCACCTTCTAGTCGCGTTTTTATTATATACATTATTTAACTTTATTGCTTGTGCAGGTCGGAAAAGCGGCTTTCGCATATAGCACAAACTATGCTATGGTGCGAACTTGATCTTTTTACTTTGTTTAAATAGTTTTTTTTTTTAATTGCGAAATTCACACAAGACTTATAACGTGTAATATTTAGAAACAAGTAACAAATTATATAAAACATGATTCTGCTACTAGTAAAATTGACACGGGGGAACTTGAACATGTGAAAACGGTAATTTCTGTTTCTGTAATTTGAGTATTATTTTTGTAAATATCTATGATGAAACTTTTTATGATCTCAATGCAATATCTCAGAGCCTTGATGCAAACATACGCATCGTTCAACCTTCAATTGATCTAATTGAGATCATTAGTGCACGTGGCAATACCTTTATTGAACCAGCCGTTGCTCAAGCCGTTCAATTGCGCAAGGAAATCGATGCATTTGCCCGAATGGTTTCAATGGAGGATACTTCAAAAGTAATCGATCATACAAAAGTCCTTAACAATATGAAAGCTCTTAATGACAAGATAAGGGAATTTGTACCATATCTAAGCCTTGTGCTCACGACTAGTGGTGCAAATTTGGGTGTATCACTTCGAAATCATGTTAGTCCTTCGCTTTTATTACAAGCTTCCGCGGCTTTAAATGAGACACACAAGAAATTTACCAGGGAAAAACTACAAAAAATACATGTTGGCCCCTTGTTTAAATTGCGACTTTATTACTTGTTCGCTGGAAACTTTCGCCCGAAAACTGTTGGTGACTTTACGTGGAAAGAAGAATATACTAAATGTGACGGAGAAATTGTTAGAGTACGTCAAAATAAGTCGGAAGAAAAGAAACAATTTCTTTATGAATTAATCTTAACGGAAGACTTGAATGATGGAAGATATCATGAAGAATTTGATATTAATGAAGAGACTCGTGCGAAACTGGAGAATAATGAGAAAATTCCTGGTAAAGTACTTCGGATCCCAATCAGTGAAATTTCTCGACTATTTTACAATTCTTCAGGGTCAATGTTAAATATAGAGGATTCCAGAACTCCAGTACTGGTATTAAAAGTGGTTAAAGGACTATACAAAAAGGATAGATATAATCAAGACACATCCAATAATAATCAAGAATTAGAGTCTGAGAATAACGATCAATTATATATTCCTCCGGTAGCTGTTACTCCCGACAAACATAAATTTGAATCAAACGAGACAACTAAAATAGAATGCTATGGATTAGAGTTATATCAAGAACCTGAATTCTCTTTTGAGGAAGAAGATGAAGTGGATTCACAAGCTAGCGACAGTGACGAAGAACCATATCTTGGTATGGCTATGAATACACCACTTCCGTCAAGTGACGGAGATATTTCCAGCGATGTTACGATAAGCGAAGATGAAACAATAAGTGATACAGAAAGAAATGGTGAAGATCATAAGCAGAGCTTAACTGAACTTCAAGTCGATCAAAAAATCACTTCTGAGAAGAAAGAATCTGATTCTTTCCCGATTGAAAATAAAATAGTTTCTACTGATGATTATTATCGTAGCACTATAAATACTCTTAGTTTCCTCGAATATATAATACGATTGAGTGCATTAGAAATGTCTGAGCAAAAACAACACACTGAAGTAAATGATGAAAAAATAAATTTATTCTTGAAAGACGACGATTCCTCTTCTGCTTCTGGTGGAGTAAACGCAGTTAATGCCACATCCACATCCGATTCATCAACATCCCCTAATTCACCTAAGCGAAAGTCACCAACGAATCAACGGTCTTCCCCAAAAAACCGTTCTCCAAAAATCATTAGGAATCAATTACTGGCGTCCGAATTTCAGACGCCTTTCTCTTCGCCTTCACCTAGATATAATAATGAGTCAACAATAAGTACAATGGATAAATTTCCGGAAAATCTCAATTCCCCCTCTAAAGGCTCATATCTAACGCACACATCAAACACTACACCAAAATTTACCCCATTTGGTCGTATAGCAAAACCATTACGAGGTGTTTCATATACGCCGAACAAAGATATTAGTCAAGTCTCAGCAAGTACAACTCCCAATTTCACACCGACATCATCATTTGGTCGTATAGCGAAACCATTAAGAGGTACACCTACGAACAGAGTATTATTTCCATTTAAAAATAAAGACATGGACGATGATGCTGATGGCGATGATGAAAACAGTTCTGCAAGTGAGCTAACAAAAAGTGAGCGTATTTTGGGTCACCAATTAGCCAATTTGAATATTAAAGATTCCAATGAACTTTCTAGTAACAAAGAATAGAGAAATTTCATTGATTGTTTGGCATGAATCACTCTACGAATTGAACCTATCATTTGATTGAGAAAGGGGGTCATGAGATTTCATCAATATTGTATAAATAATAATACTAATATAACAATCCTGTATAATCACATCATCACACATTCTCCAATTTGAATTTGTGCAAGGTCACGATATAATTTGTGCAAGGTCTTGTGGTTTGAAATAAACTCCCATTTTTAGAAACAATATCGGGTATTACGTAACGTTAAAAAATATAAATACGCAACCACCAGTTAATCATGCAAGAAAAAATTTTTGAAATACATAATGTCTCAAGTAGATAATCAACAAACAGCGAAGTCAAACAGTCCTAGAATTCATAAACGTTTTCATTCTGGTCATGCACCGTTAATTGGCAAAAAAAAGAGTAGCTCTTCGGTTTTCTTGCCAAAGATTTTTAGATCTTTTAGCAGTGAAGAGAAAACGCAAGAAAAAAAGCAAAAACTTCGATCGAAAAGCGAACCAAATAAATTGAAATCCACAGATATACTAAAGAATGAACCATTACAAATTTGTAAAATTCCCACTTGTGATTATATGTTAGATTTAACGTGAGTATTTTGTGCTATTTCGTTTCTCCTTATAATTTTGAGTGACCACGCTTTGTGGGATAATTCATGTGATTTCTTTTTCTTTCAAAAAATCCCTTTTTAAAACTGTTTTTTGGTTGGTGTTATATTTATAACATAGTAATTTAGATGACGGGCCAGAACTTCGAAAAAAAATTCTGTATCTAGCTCATACCTTACTCGACTGGAGAGATATTGTCGATGAATCACAAATTCACCTCGAATCCGTTAGCGGAGCCCTTACAAATCGCGTCTTTTTCGTGACAGCATCGCCTAATCATAGGCATTTTTCTGCTATGCAAAAGAAACCGCGTAAAGTTGTTTTGCGTGTGTACGGAATAGGCGTCGATCAACTCTTTGAACGAAAGAAAGAATTGGAATTTTTGCAAATGTTATCAACTTTGAAAATAGGGCCATCGCTTCTAGGAATATTCCAAAATGGACGATTTGAACAATACTTGGATTCATCCACGCTCACGCGAGATGATTTACGAAATATAGAAACTTCAAGTCATATTGCTCAACGAATGGCCACTCTTCATAATATTGTTAATATCTTTTCACCTCCAAAAGATACAGTGCCTCAAGTATGGGTCAATATTGATAAATGGTACCCTTTAGCAGTAAAAGTCGTCTCAGGACCTGAATTTAAAAATGATCCGATACGGTCAAAGAGATTAGAGTTATTTGATATGGAGAGATTGTACGTTGAAATACAAGCTTTGAAGGAGAAACTTAATTCCTTAAATTCGCCTTTAGTATTTGCACATAACGATGTAAATATTCAAATTATTCTCCTTTTGCCTTATGTTTATTTTAGCTTTAGTTAAATACTAATTTTAGTCTTTTTGTTATCAAAGACTCAATATGGAAATATATTAAGACTAAACGATGGATCCAGTGAACTCGTGGTGGTGGACTTCGAATATGCAGGTTATAACTTTCGCGGATTTGATATTGCAAATCATTTTTGCGAATGGTTATATAATTACCACTCCCCTGATCCACACATTCCACATACTGACTGGTACCCCAGCAAGGAAGAACAATTAAATTTTTTAAGCTCGTACGTGGAAACAGAAAAAATACTTTCTGTGGGTGCATCCTCTTTATTCGATGATCGTAATCTTGAGGTACGACGTCAGGAATGTGAAGCGTTTGCATTAGCTAGTCATGTAATGTGGGGACTTTGGGGATTGGTGCAAGCTGCTCACAGTCAAATAAAATTTGACTATTTTGAATTTGGAATGCTCCGTTTGGAGCAGTTCCGACTGAATAAATAAAATCTTAGCTGTTTTCCATATATGAATTATTAAATTTTCCACTGATTATAGTTTAACTAGTAGGGTAAAAATTTCCTTTTATAGATTGTTAGAACTTGGCATAAATTTGTTAAATGAATTTTGAAAATACATATAATAAATTCAATCATCAGTTTATTACAAACTTTTTCAATAACAAAGTTAATATTACCTCCCATACACAAAGCGGAGAAAAGGTATTGTGCACTATGATATTATAAATCTACCAAATGTCTGTGGTGTCCCGATACTCCTTGCTCGCTATTTCGCGAGCGTAGATTTAATTACGATCGCATGATTATCATCTAAACCAAATTTGAATTTAATTCAATTTTGAACTTTCAAAATCGATATGATTATTTCCGAATTAATGTTTTTTTTTAAAAAAAATTCTTTATTTAAACATAAACTCCGTATCAAAAGGCGAACAATTCGGACGCGAAATTCTTAAGTGTAACGAGGTGGGATTTCACAGGTACTTGTTGAGTTATTATGTATCTGAAGTTACGCTGCCACTAGGAAGAATTGAAAGCACATCGTGACCATATTTTTATATGAACGTTCTTGCTATGAGTCGATTTTTGGAACAAGCAAAGGTTACACGTTAATAATTATAACTACGCTTTCACATTTTTCCTAAATCTATACATAACCATGTTCTGCAATCTCATAAAAAAGAATTAAGGTTTACTTTTACACGCACTGACTCGATAACTCCACCAAAATATAAATTCTACCAAACAAAACTACTAAAGTATAACGAAAATATGCTATATAACCCCCGTTAATATCATCAGAAGTGTTAATGGGATTGTTAAAAATAAATTTTCGGTAATTTAAACTTTATTTTGCCATCGAAGTCATTATACATTAAATTGTGTTGAAATCTACTGTTGTTTGCTTCTGGCTAGTATTCTACACAACCCAAGGAAATCCGTGGAAAATTTGTCCGTTTGCATAAGTCTTCGCCATCAACAAATTTTCTTACGTTCACCAACAATACCTTTTGCAATTTCTTGCCCATCCCAAAAATTATAGATTGATCGGTTACGAACTGATTTTATTAAAAGCCACACCCAAAGACGTATATAAAATTCATCGTCAACTGGTTCAAGCATCAAAATTCCATAGGATTTCAATGTTTTGTATGAGACTTCATGTCCATCTATATCAACTACATCATCTTCGTCAACAGATCTTTCTAAAATCGCATTTGCAAGCATCGGAGTGATTTTGTTTGCAAATTCTTTGAATTTATACCGTCCCTTTAGTTTTTTCTTAAGGATGATCATCATTTCTACTAAATCAATGTCCTCCCATTCATAGGTTTCGGCTTCACCACAAATTAATTCATAGAATATCTCCAAAGCATGTCTGAAAAGATTGTTTTGATAAACAAAAGCTTCATCAAAGCCAAGATTACACGCGATTAATAGCATATCAAATGCATCCAGTAATTGCAATGGTAACTGAAGAGCTTGATGCATCGATTTAGTAATAATTGATCGAGGCGGACTCTCAACTGTACCTGCTAAGATTGGAACAAAAAACACTGATCCTGAGTTGCAACTCCTCGTGCGATCTTTGTCATATAGTTTGTTGACCTCATCAATACCAACAACAATTACAAGCTTCTTCATCTTTTTGTACTCATAAATAGCTTGTAAAGCAACAGGCAAAGCAAATTGCTTTGCATTTTCTTTTCTAGCAGTTTGTGCAAACAGGACATAGGACATGTCATCGTTGCCATGTATGAAATGAGTGTATAGAATTCTCAGTGCTAACGAAGCTTCCGCACCAATATCCATATCGAAATCTGTAACTGCTGATCCATTTCCATATGTAACATTCAGGAAAACAGCTTCCCCTAGTATGCATTTAATTTCATCATTTGATAATCGAGCTTTTTCGCGAATAATGTTACCGATTTCCTGCAAAAACCGACTTTTTCCTGTGCTAGGACCACAACCAAGGAATGGAATTGGATGAACATTGCGATCTGTCTTTGGATTTTGACTGCAATAGTTTTTAAAACGCTTTAGAACTCCATAATTATTAGCTGTGTCACCATTCCAGAGGGTATTTATTGTGTTTTCGCGAACACACAAAGTAAATTGAGCACCAAACGATTCGACAAGCATCGCAGGTTTCGTTCCTTCTTCCAGTCTGTAGTTCTGTATCCACGCTAAAATCGAATGTGGATCTACCATATTAATGCGATTTTGTGAACTAATTTGAGGTACAGCTATAACAGATTAAAAAACATGCAATTCAGATCAGAGTCCTTTTATATTTTCGGCGTGTATTTTCGTTTTCAGGTTTTCTTTTCTGATAGGAATATTCACTTTCCATAATTCGTCTGCGGAGATGTGGTTAAAATGAGGTTCTTTCTTCTTAATTGCATCCTTGAGATGCCCAACGGTCATGTCACTATTGATATCAACCGGGAAAGAATTCCTAATAGCGTCACCTAGAACGAGACAAAAAATCTGATGAAAATTTAAAAATCTATTTTCCTCAAAACATTCCTAATATGGGGGATGGCTAAAGCGAAGCAGTCCCGTGACTCAAGTAACGCCACACTGATCATCTTGTAATATGAATCATGTGATATTATAAAGTTGTTTATTTTGTAATATGAATCATGTAATATTATAAGTTTTTATTCTCTTTGCACTTCTTACAGATAGATCTCTATATTTTGTCTTTTTCATACTGTCATAAATCAAATTTCTTTATTACTTTTCAAATTTTGGATATTATAAATTATTCTAATATAATAATATTATTTTATAATATTATAGATCAGATGAAAATACTTTTAAAACATAATTTGAATAATTTTACTTGCAATAAAGTGTTTGGGAAGTATAGGCTATGTTTTGTATTGGTTTTCTAATTTCTCCACCAGTATTATTTGATGTTGTGATATTTTGAGAGATTATTTAAAGAAAATTATTAGTAGCTTGAGAACAAGTTTGATCACATAATTTGCATTGTATTAAACTAGAACTGTTGCTTTTTTTTAGGATATCTAAGTGAAAACTCATAATCACATGATATTATATTAAAAATAGATATGTTAATTTTATTTCATTATGTCATTATACATTTTGTAAAATTAAATTTAAAGAACTCTTTAATTCTTCTTAAAAACTTCTTTATAAATATTTTGAATTCTTAATGAATTTATTTGCTTTATGATGAACTTCTTTTATTCTTATAAAATACACTTTATTTTTAAAGGTTCTTTGTAAACTTGTAATATTCTTTGTGAATCTTTTAGTACTTCAGCTAACAAATAATAGTATTAGAAGATTATTTTATACTTTGTTTAATTCTCCACACTTTTTACATGATGCAGTCACTGCTTACTGTTCTAGTAAAAATTTTCATCTGTAAAGATTACTAATAATAACAATAAGAAGAAATCAAGTTAGATATTAATTAAACATTTACATTATAATAACACCTACCAGAAATCTGATCGTAACAACATCTACATCAAAAAAATATTTATCTGAACCTGAAACTTATAACAATATTTTACTCAAAATCTTTTTTTTATATATTTTGAACAACTTACAAAACTTCAAAATCATAAATGATTAACTTTAATTGATTCTACTTATCAAATTAACAGACATAATTGATATCTTTTCACTTTATATATTTGTAATAATTACAGATATTGGAATGTTGAGACATATTTTTTGTGAGTAAAACAATAATATAATTGCAGAAATTATTATAATTATTAGATAAAATTGTCAATATTGAACTTTTTGCTATATTTTTATGAATCAAAGTAATATTGAAGCTAATAGCATCAAAAAAGCTTTTTCTGATCTTCAGATTGGTGAACAAGAATGTGAAATTATTCTTTGCACTATTCATATTATACGAACATGAATGACAAAAATCTATAAAAAAAGATACAAGATAAAATGATTATAACGATGTATAAAATAATAAAAATTAAATATAAACAACTAATTATTGAAACTATTAAGAATTGTCAAGTTTCTGCTATCAAAAATTATATTTAAAGAAATTATAAAAAAAACTATATATAAATAAACTCTTTATGTACATCATCATTTTCTCCTTCTTATATAAGTTATTATCACTAATTTTATTATAGTAAATTCAAAAGACTAACATTCTTCATTTTTGACTTAATAAGTATATTTTTAATTATTTAAATAATTAATATAATTTTTAAATATTTTTATTAATTATACATATTACTTTTTTATAGATACTATATACAAGATTATTAAGATTGATAACAAAAAATATACAGAATCTGAAGACGCTGCATTTAACTTTTATGTTAAAAAATATTTATCTATAAAGTAAATGAGAAAATTCTTGAAGAAATTCATAAATTTTCTTATCTGATATAACAGATGCTTATTAAAAAAGCTTGTGTAATAATAAATAAAATTAAAAAAGGAAAGAGTGCACCTAATTTGACTTTAATAAACTGTGATTATTTGTTTTACAATAAGTATTTACTGCTATATAAACACATTTTTCATGAATATATTTATAATATTACTAAATTACTTATTGCTGATATATGAAAAATATTTCAGCAAATATTCAAAAAAAGTGAATTTAAAATATATAGATGAAATGAATTGGTAATGATAATAAATAAACAAATAGAAGAACAGAAAGAAGTGAAAACTCAAAAATTAATTATCAATGAGTTGACAAAGAAAATATGAGATATGTATTGAAAAATGGAAAATGGAGATAATTCTGAATGTTATTCCAGTTCTTTTAACAGTATTTATATAGCAGAAGGTCTTTAACAGGTCTCTTCTTACAGTTATAAGAGGAG